TGGTGGCCAGGCGGCTTGCGTGGCAGATACTGCCGCTCACTGAGATGTTAGGGCCCGCCCGCTTGGGCTCACCAAAGGGCCCAGTAGCGCGAGCTCGACGAGAAGTCGGAGTCCGCGCGAGCGGCGTAGCGCGAACAGGAGATGGCCCGCTGGCGGGTCAAGTGCGTCCAGGAGGTGAAGAGAAGAAGCGGGTAAGAGCAGCGGTTGCGCACGGGGGTGAGGGCGGTGGCGTTTGGAACGTGAAGGGGCACGAGGCTTTGCGCTGCCATTTCCCAGGGCTACGCCTCCTTATCTTCACTTGTAAAGTAAAAAGATAGTTTGCCTTTCCGACCACATAGCTCCGTATTGATTGCGTGTTAATGATGAATAGTAGCAACACCAATGCTGTAGGTGCACTGCAGAGCCCTGTATACATTATGTAGGAGGATTACACAGGGGCGCTGCAGGGATGACAGATCTGCACCGACATTCTGACACCAGCACTCAAGACTCACAAGCATCTGGTGCTTTTATTTTTTTTTAAAGATATTTTTATTGATTTCAGAGAGGGAGAGAGAGAGAGAGAAACATCAATGATGAGAGAGGATCATTGATCTGCTTCCTCCTGCACGTCCCCCCACCCGCCATGTGCCCTGACCGGGAATTGCTGACCTCCTGGTTCATAAGTACCCGCTCAACCACTGAGCAACACCGGCTGGACCCTCGGTGACTTTAAAAATACAATACATAGAGAACTTGTGGCCTTTCCTTAAGGAACATACATCCTAATTAGCTGATGGGTCAATAGTGATGATTTCCCCAGAAATCCTTTGTTTACGAATTTTAAACCACAAATCTTGAGATTCAACAATGGTGTTTTTTGAGCACTTACTATATACTAGGCACTGTGCTAAGGTCGTTACATACACCAGATCTTGAATTCTGGTAATAACCCGGAGAGGTAGGTGGTATTATCCCAATCTTACAGATTAGGAAAGTAAGGCGTAAGGAAGTTAACCTGCCAACAACCACACAAATTGGTTTGTGGCAGTTTCACTTCTGATTTGAGCCCAGGTTGTGTGATTTGAAGAAAACCTGTTAATCTCAAACTCTTAAGTGGGGGCCAGAGTGAAACTGGAAATTGGTCAGATAGTTGTTTAAGATATTGTCATTACTTCTGCGTGCCTCCACGTCCCTCCTTCCTCCACTCCACTACCAGCTAGTGTTTCCTCCTCTCCCTTCTCCTGGTGTCTGCTACTGCCCTAGAGTCTGATGTAACTCCCCCTCTGAAGTGTATTGATGTCAAGCTTTGTTTTCAAGCCCCCCCAAAACATCAGTGCTTTTAAGAATACTTGGAGGCAAGGCCTTAATCTAAGAGAGTTTGAGTCAGTTCAGACATTTAATGAGGGCCCAGTAAGTACCAGGCCCAGTGCAGGGTGCTGGGGATAGAGATAAATGGGACAGTGCTTGTCCTTGAGGGGCTTAGAGCCCCATGGGCTATCATGTCTGTATAGCATTGTGTGTTACGATTTCACATGTAGGTGCTATAGGAGCCCAGAAAAGGAATAGCTAATCCTTTGGGGAAGGTGTCAGGGAAGGTTTGGATGATGAAGTAACAACTGAACTGAGTCTTAAAGGAAATGTCAAAGCCAAGTGAGAGCAACAAGTGCATTTCAGGCGAGAAGAGTGAAACAGCATGGTAGCTGAAATGGTGCAGTCACAGTGCTGATTTGAGAGATGGGAAAGAGAGCTTTAGGCAAAAGCATCCTCCCTACCACCTATGGTGAGGGTGTTAGAGACAGAGTCCTTTGAGTAATGGCTTAGAGCAAGCATGATTTAAATAAACGAGGCATGGCTGTGAGTTTGACATGCTTGGCTTAGCCTTAGAGTAACCAGAATTATTTATCTACATGTGAACCAACTTAAGAAGAGTACAATAGGGTCTTCAGATGTTTGAAAGGCTGTCATGTTGAAGAGATTCTTGGCAGTAGAGTATTTTAGGTTGTCACTGAGCATTGTAGAGTCCTGGGCTTTTATAACTCCACTAGAGGCCTGGTGCATGAAATTTGTGCATCGTGGGGAGCGGGCCTAAGTCAGCAGTCAGACATCCTTAGCGCTGCTGCAGAGGCAGGAAAGGCTCCCGCCACCGCCACTGCGCTTGCCAGCTCTGAGCCCAGCTTCTGGCTGAGCAGCGCTCCCCCAGTGGTGATGCATTGACCACCAGGGGGCAGCTCCTGTGTTGATTGTCTGCCCCCTGGTGGTCAGTGCATGTCATAGCGACAGGTTATTCTGCAGTTCAGTCTATTTGCATATTAGCCTTTTATTATGTAGGATAAGATTCCTTATCTTCCCTGCTATCCTCAATCTTTGGATCCAGGTGTCTGCTTTTTTTTTTGTTTTGTTTTTAAGTCTTCACCCAAGGATATGTTTATTTGTTTTAGTAGAGGAAGGGCAGCGGGTGGGGGGAGAAACATTGGTCTGAGAGAGAAGCATTGATTGGTTGCTTCCTGTACATGCCCCAACTGGGGATTGAACCTGCAACCTAGGTATGTGCCCTGTTTGGGAATTGAATCTACAACCTTTTGGCGCATAGGACAATGCTCCAGCCAACTGGGACCCCCGGCCAGGGCCAGGTGTTTTCATGTTTAATGAGAGCCCCAACTTAACAAGGTAAGTTGAATGCAGATGTTCCTTGGACCACACTTTAGAAACTCTGAGGAAGAAAAAAGACCAGTGTCCAGGTGGAAGTGCAGAGAGGATAATTCTTTGGCTGGACCGGTGTAGAGAGGTGTTTTGGGCATGGCCCAGGGAATTGGGGTGTAAATCCAGTAGAATCTTTCTTAACCCTGGGACTGTCTGATTCTCTAAAATCTCACTGCTGGGCAGCTGTTCTCAGGGGCTCTCTTTCTTCCCCAGGAGCAGGAACTTAAAGCCGCCGCCGATGGTGTCTTGTCTGAAGTGAGGAAAAAACAAGCAGACACCAAAAGAATGGTGGACATTCTTCGGGCCTTGGAGAAATTGAGGAAACTCAGGAAAGAGGCTGCAGCAAGGAAAGGTAACTGTGGCTTTGCACTTCTGCTTGCATTTCTTCCTTTGTTCCCCTGTTCCTTCCCTTTCTTTACCATAGAGCTTGCCCTTCCCCAAAAATCTTGAAGGAAAATGCTTGATACTTCAAATTTTTCACCCAGTAGGGTAACTGAGCTTGTCAGCAGTATCTCAGAACCTTTGAAGTAGAAACCCTCTGATGTTTAGCTCTTGGTAGCCCAGGTTGAAAAGAGAGGCAGGTGTGGGAACCCACTGCACCATCTTCCCCTGGACTCATCATTCCCCCCCCCCGGCATTCCTGGCCACATTATTCTGAGTGAGGTTGACAGGGCTGGTCGGCTTTACCCGTGTGCCAAGGTGAAAGCTATCCTATCCTGTCCTTACTTGAGGCTTCAGAAGGTGTTGAAAATTTGGCATGTTCCTTCAGATACATTTCAAATCTGAATCATGGATATTTGAAGAGGTGTGATTGGGATTTGGCTGGAGGGCCCTCAGTCCCATCTTTGCTATTTTAAGCTCTCACTATCCTTCAAAACCAAATTTAGATGTCGTATCTCCCATCCTTCTCTGCTCTGGGCTCAGGAGACCTCCTGCTCCTTTCACTTGCACCTGGTTTGGGCCACATGCTGCCTTATTTAGTAGGTTGTAGGCCATTGACATTCACCAGTGATATCTGAGAGTACACAAATTAGCAAATACCATGATAGCAAATGAATTCCTCTGTGTGGTTTAAAATATAATAAATTAAAACTATAATTCAGACCCTTAAAAAAAAGTTTTGTTGGGCCCTAGCTGGTTTGGCTCAGTGGATAGAGCATGGGCCTGCGGGCTGAAAGGTCCAAGGTTCGATTCCAGTCAAGAGCATATGCTTAGGTTGCAGGCTCGATCCCCAGTGGGGGGCATGCAGAAGGCAGCCAATCAATGATTCTTTCTCATCATTGATGTTTCTATCCCTCTCCCTCTCCCTTCCTCTCTGAAATCAATAAAAATATATTTTTAAAAAAAGTTTTGTTGGGATATGACCATTGTGCATTCAGCCAGTCTTACTCTCTAGCTAAGTGATGAGCTTCTGCATGCTACCCCTGAGAGTGGCTGGTTCAGATTCAGGCCTCAGAAACGGATGATTCTGTAGGGCATTTGTGAATCATCTACTGTGGGTCATCTAGATTTGCTTCTACTGTGTCTACCGATGCCTCTTGCTTATGAGAATGCAAAACTTGAGGACTACTATTTAATGTTCCTCTGCTCCATGTCCTCTGTGAGGTGAGGGTCTGTAATATCTGCCAAGTGAATTTACCAGCATAATTTCTCATTGTTAGTCTCCCCTCTACTTGGTCCAAAAGAAAGAGGAAATTTTAGGAGGAATTATGGTCTATATAATAAGCAGGCTGTGTGGAGTTAATTGACTTGAATGTAAAATGATTTGGTAACTAGTAGCTGGTGGCCTTGTGTACTTTAAAAGAAAACAAGCTGCTTTCTAACTTCTCTCTTCAAGGCGTATGTACCTCCAAGTAAGTGCTGAGAGAATGAGGCTGGACATGTAAGTAGGGTCACATCACAAAGTGTCCTATGGGCCCTAGCTGGTTTGGCACAGTGGATAGAGCATCAGCCTGTGGACTGAAGGGTCCCGGGTTCGATTCAGGTCAAGGTCACATGCCCAGGTTGTGGGCTCGATCCCCATTCGGGGATGTGCAGGAGGCAGCCCATCAATGATTCTCATCATTGAGGTTTCTATCTCTTCTCCCTTCCTCTCTGAAATCAGTAAAAATATATTTTAAAAAAAACCACAGTGTTTTATGGGCCAGGCTAGACTTCTCACCTATGCTTAAAGCTGAGGGGAACCACTGAAAGATTTCAAGCAGAGTGAAATGATGACAGATCATTGGTTGCAGAGCAGAGAGAGGTTTGGAGCATCTAGGAAGAGAGACTGATAAAGGCTGTCATAGTCTGGGCTGGGATAGTATGGGAGTGTGAACTAAGGACCACAGTAGGAGAAAAGTAAATGGATTTAAGAGATATGAATAGTGTGTGTGTGTGTGTGTGTGTGTGTGTGTACATGTAAATTAATAAATAACTTGGGGAACTCAGCATGTGGGAGCTGAAGAAAAAAATGGCTTCCAGGTTGTAGCTTGATCCACTGAATGAATGATGATACCATTCTAAATGACCAGGAAAACAGCAGGAGGAGTAGGCTTTGGGTTGATGAGTTCAGTTTGGGACCTGTTGAGTTTGAGGTGCCTGTGGGACACCCTGGATAAGGGTTCATCAGCATGGAAACAGACCTTAAAGAGGTTGTGTAGTGTGAAATGAGAGCCAGAAAGACAATATCAAGATGAATAAAGAGGATTCCTTAAAAGAGATTGAGAGAGGTCAGAGAGAGAGGAGGAAAAGGTAGACCCACTACTTCTTCTGCAGAGTGGCAAATGCTCACAGAGATTGTGCAATCTTGGCACGTTTGCTTAAACTTCTTTATGCCTTGGTGTCCTCCTCTGTAAGGAGGGAACAATGATAGTACCTACCCATGGGGTGTTGTGGTGATTAAATTAGTAGACATGAGTTAAGTGTTTAAAGCAGTCCTGGCACATAGTAATTGCCATACAAGTGTTTCATCTTATTTTTATTTTCAAGTTATAAAAAGCTTGAGAGACATCCATGGAAATTAGTGACTGCGCTAGGGGCATTTCAGGGGGTGGTAGAAGTAGAAGCCCGACTAAAGTAGAGTAAAGACGGAGTAGGACATAAGAAAAGCAGACAGTGAGATCAACTCATTAAACATTTGCCTGTGAAGAAAAGGAGAGTACGAGATCAGCATCCGCCAGTGTGTGTGATTAACTTAAGTGGAGAAGAACCATCTTCTACTGGAATGAAATGAAGGAGACAATGAGGGGTAGTAATGCAGAGTGGAACTGGGGCCAGAACGTTAAGGAATTCTCCTTCCTGGTGGCCTGTCTCCTCCGGGAAATAGATTAGAGGGTTTGCTGAGAGTCAATAGAGAAGTAGGACTTTCAGAGAGTGGTGAAATGAGCAGTCAGTGAGGGCCAAGCAGAGACCCATGGCAGTGTGGTTGCAGGGAGGTGCTATGGGCCCAGCATGTAACTATATACTGGCACCAGGCCAGTAATCAAATGGCTTCTTCCGGGAGCACTCTACAGCTAGCACATGAGCACAGAGCACTGGGCTGTTGGGGTTTTGCTTTGTGGGTGACTACAAGTTTTAGTGAGAACAAATAGAAGATGGGTGGAATCTGATACATTCGATGAGAGATTTTAATGAAATTCACAGAATCTTGAGGGAGAAGAAGGTGAGAATACTGAAACGGTAGGAAGTTGTCAGAGAAGAGAATATTTGGGTTTAAGATTTCAGGGTGGAAAGTTTTTTCTCATTATGCCAAGGTCCAAAGACCGGATGAGGCCCCATGGTGCCTAAGATTATTCATTGTAGCATTATATGATAACAAGTCATTTGGAACAGCCTAACTGTCCAGGAATAGAGAGCTTATTAAGTAAATTATGGTAGGTACATTGATTTGGTGAAACAGGATGGAGCCATTAAATAATTATAAGAAGAGGGGAAAAAAGTAGAGAATTGACATGGAGATATGTAAGTTACACACATTTTACATTGAACTATGTGAAGTTGCTAATATATGGACAAAAATGGCTGGAGGATCAACATGGGGAAATAAAAAGGGTTGATTATGTTAGCAGAATTAGGATTTTTTTCTTCCATGTATCTGGTATTGTTAAAATATTGCCACAATACATACATTTTCCTTTAAAACCTTTAAGGACTAATAGGATTGAGCACACACCACTCTAGGATGAATTAGCAGCTTCGGTAACTTTTTTATTGCAGGGCCATTATGGTAGTGAGTCACTATTGCAACCTACTTGATTATTCAATAAATTTCAAAAAGTTTTCCTTATGAAATTTTATGAAAACTTTCACATGTGTACAAAAATAGAATGCCTAAGTAAATTACTCATCATCAATTACGATGCCATTATCACATAAAATTAGTAATAATTCTTGCATATCACCTAATAACTACTCTAAAATGTTCCCAGTTGTGGCTGTAGCTATGTTGGCTATACAGTTAGCTGACCTCACAATTAAATCAGGGTGACCAACCATCCCAGGTTTCCCAGGACACTGGGTTTTCAAGTGCTAAAACCGGGCAAACTGAAACATTTGGTCACCCTACTCTCAGCAGCACACTGTGAGGCCAGTGTGGTTGGTTAAATGTATTTCTTCTCAATATCCATATGTGCTTTCCCAGAACTTCACACTCAAAGGGAGAATTGTTTATTAGCAGTGGGAATTTCAAAATGAAGAATATAAGACAGTTTTTTTCCTTTTGGGAGCCCACTCTCCAGCTGCAGGATCAAAACCTTTAGAAACAAAATCAAAAGTTAAGTGGTAGTTTCCAGAAAGAGGAATTAGAGAAAAAAGAAAGTCAGGGTGGGGTCAGATTAATTACAGATTCAAATTGATCTGTGAAGAGGGATTAGAATTTATAAATGCTAAGCAAATTCATACTATAAGTAGGACTTTGAGTTGGCTCATTAGGACACAGATCTGGAGATAAGAAAAAGTTGTAACTAAAATGCCATTTGCATCTCTTTGCCCAGGGGTCTGTCCTCCAGCCTCAGCAGATGAGACTTTTGAGCATCATCTTCAGCGACTGAGAAAACTCATTAAAAAACGCTCTGAACTATATGAAGCTGAAGAGAGAGCCCTCAGAGTCATGTTGGAAGGAGAACAAGAGGAAGAGAGGAAGAGAGAACTAGAAAAGAAACAGAGGAAAGAAAAAGAGAAAATTTTATTGCAGAAGCGGGAAATTGAGTCCAAGTTATTTGGAGATCCAGGTAAGTTCCTCTGTAACCAGGGGAGAAAAGGACAATACTAGATTGACTTATTCTCATGGGTGACCTCAACCTAAGCTAAGAGATTGGTAGGCAACAATGACACCTAAACTATATCCTGGAAATCATGGATAAAGATGAAACACGTTTGATCATATTGTCATCATAGGCTCAGTCACCTTGCCTTGAGAAATACACTCTGGATAGGAAGTGTGATGGTGTGGTATTGTGCCTTTTCTTTTTCAGATGAGTTCCCGCTCGCTCACCTCTTGCAGCCTTTCAGACAGTATTACCTCCAAGCTGAGCACTCCCTGCCAGCACTCATCCAAATAAGGTCAGAGGGGCACTTTCCATGTCGCCTGTATCTTTTTTTTAAAATTTCTCATGGGTTTATATAAAGTTCCCAAGTGTTAGGAATTCCACAAACATCTGTTTAGTCCTCACTCATCCTTGAGAAATAGATGTCCCTATTTTAACAGGTGAAGAAACAAACTCAGGTGTGACTTGCCCTTTTGTGTTCTCCCAGGCTGTGCTGTTATGTTGACTTAAAGCACTGGCTACCTTTTCTAGTTCTCTTCTGCTGCTAAACAGACCCTCCCTGTATACTTGCCTATGGAGACTGTTTAAGACCCGGCTGCTGACTTGTGAGTTCTTAGAGGTCAGAGTCAAGAGAGCGAGGAACAGAGAGTCTCATCTTTACATGCAGTTAATAAGGGGCTATACTTTGCAGCTCTCTGGGTCTCACACTTTCCTCACCTATAAAATGAAGGTGGTGGACTAGAATGTGGCCTTCAAACGTGGGCAGTAGTACTCTTCCCAAATGCAGTCTTTGGACACATCAGTTTATAAAACAGAATGAATGACTGGGTTCCACAGGTAACTTAAATCTGTTATTGATAGGAAGCACTTTGTTGTTTCTAGACTCCCAAAGCATCTACTTGGGGCTCAGGGGTCTTCAAAATCACGGACCTAAGTGATGTCTAAGGTTCCTTTCAAAGCTCCAAAATGCTCTTTTGCATACCAAGTTGATGTCTGGGGAAAGTGCATTTCTGGCTAATATACAAGTTTTAGCTTCTAAACATAACTACAGTCAAGTCTTGTTATTTACAGTAGCTGTGTTCTATAAAGCCACCAACACTGAATTAGAGACTACTGAACGGCTGCTGCTCCTAAAGGAAATATATGATTAGGTTTCTGTGGGCCTCTGGCCACATTTTTGTCAACTGATCAATACATAACATTGTTTTATGTGTATTTCTTTTTAAAGACACCTCATTTAGTATATCTTTCTTAAAATATATTTTTTTATTGATTTCAGAGAGGAAGGGAGAGGGAGAGAGATAGGAACGTCAGTGATGAGAGTGGCTCAGTCAACCTGTGAACTAGGAGGTCATGGTTCGATTCTCGGCATATGCCCGGGTTGTGGGCTCAATTCCCAGTGTGGGGCATGCGGGAGGCAGTCGATCAATGATTCTCTCTCCTCATTGATGTTTCTATCTCTCTTTCCCTTCCTCTCTCTCTAAAATCAATGAAAACATATTTTTTTAAATGACTATAAGTTCTTTGGAGTTTTCCCCCTTTTATATGTATATTTAAGAAATGCAGTCTTTTGCATAATCCCTGATAATCTAGTTCTTTAGTACATCAGTCCTTGAAAAGGTAAGTCCTGAAATAGAATATTTAGTTGCTGAACATCTTGCTTGGACTAAAACAGAAATAAACAGTTGTTTTATAATTTCCTATTAAGGCACGATTGGGATCAGTACCTGGTGCCATCTGATCATCCTGAAGGCAACTCTGTTCCCCAAGGATGGGTCCTTCCACCGCTTCCCAGCAACGACATCTGGGCAACTGCCATTAAGCTGCATTAGTAAAGACGCTCCGGGAGTGTGGACCAGGCAACGCTCTCTCCAGCTCTGAACATTAGTGATGCTGCCATCTTGTGCTGCAGACCAAACAACAACCTGTAAACTCCACATGGCATGGCCCTTCCCAGAAGTTCCATTTTCCTACCATGCTCTGTCCTGGCCAAATGTGCTTTGGAATCAGATTAATATGGTTCTTTGGAAAGGACCTAGGTGGACTGGGGCTATTGCCACATGCCTTGGCTCACTGAATTTGCCTCTGTTTTGAGGGGCTTGGTCCAGAGTGACTGGCTAATTTACTCAACTTCCTGTGTGGCAATGGGTAAGTACATGCCAAACACTCAACACAGGTGTGCTCTGGGTAGTTTAGTAGCCCTCCCCCAGTACAGAGTGTGAAGGCAAGCTTGATGCAAAACCCCCATATCCTTCCTACCCGTGTAGCCCTCTAACTTCCAGGAAGAAAGGGGAAAGATGCTTTATCTGTGAAGCCCACTTTTGGTGCAGCTTGAGAGGCTGTGGGCCGCAGGCTGGGCTGGAGTAAAGCTGGTGGCTTAGTCGGGTACTCATTTGGAGAACTCAGGACACCTGAAGAGTACCTACACCTACACTGGATCGTGTTTTAATGGGTGACGGCTGCATTCTCCCTATGTTAGAAGGATCCTAATGAAAGGAACTGCTTTGTAAGTTCCTAGAGGTCTAGTTGTTCAGAATCCCTAAGGATAGAAATTTATTTCCCTATGGGAGTAGGACCTTAACCTCATGTACTCAGAAGGGGCCGGTATAACTGTGGAATTTCTTAGGAATATTCATGTAGTTAAAGCTGGGGGGAAAGCAGATAAAAATAATGTTTATTTTTTTATATTCATTAATAAATGCTCTTGTGCCTGGAGATGATCAGTGATATAACATGTTAGTTTTTCTGTTTTACTTTGCCTTTTGGTCATTTATTGTTATTTATATTTCCAAAAACCTAAATAAATATTTTTATTTTTTAGTTTGAGCCTTTCTCCCAATTTGTTGACTCCCAAATCACTGTACACATTTTCACACTGATAAGACACATTTTCAATCTAAAATTCAAGTTTATTAAATAGGCACTTGCTAGAGGAGAGTGAATCTACACCACCGAACTCTGTGGAACCCAACGCCAGGTAGGCAGGAAAGGACACCATCAACCTTAGAAATGATTTCATATCATCAGAAGCTGTTGGGTGCAAGATGCTAAAACCTTTGTCCTTTTCCATTGTTTAATTTGCACTGTTAAATTTATGTAGTGTGCATTACAGAGTTAACAGTATATGAGCCAGCACTCCTCCAAAGTGTGTCTAAGCTCATAATCTGAAATCTGATGTGATTAGCTTCACTTGACCCCATAGGCTTGTGTGCCCTTTTGGGATACCTCTCCACCATTTGCTCTCTGATGAGGTGCAGGAACATAGAAATAAAAGAGGACTGGTACAGTACGTTGTATGTTTGGTGTCCAGATAGCCTTGCCACTAAGACATCTGCATTGATGGGTCAGGGAGGGTAAAGCAGGGACTCAGGAAAACTCAGGCAGCACAACCCAAGGAAAAGGTGTTTAATGCCAGGTGGGAAAAACCATTCCCTCTTTCCTCTGGCAACTTCAGTGTTTTAATAAAGCGAGTGTTTTCTTTGTCGGGTTTTTATTTTGTAAGTTTTTCTTGGTTTGCTGCCTTCAGTGGTGGTGGCAGCAGGCACTGGTACTTTATAGGCTTAGAAAGAAAGACTTATAGTGGTATCTTTAACAAATGATTCTTCTGAGAATATGAACAGTGCCATTGTAATCTTATCCCACAGTCTTTTATTAAAAAATTGTGCAGTCCTGGCTGGTGTGTCTGGGTTGGAGTGTTGTCCACCGGAAGGTCGCCAGTTTGATTGCCGGTCAGGGCACATACCTCGCTTGCAGGTTCAATCCCTGGCAGGGTGTGTACAGAGGCAACCAATCAGTGTATCTCTCTCACATTGATGTTTCTCTCTCCCTTCCTATCTAAAATTAATAATAAAAATTAACAATAATAAATTGTGCAAAATTTCAAACATCTCAAAAGTAAAGATAATATAATTTCCCCCCCATATATCCATCATCCAGCTTCAAATAATTGTCAACTCCTGGACAAGCCTGTTTCATCTGTACCCCACCACTCACTCTGGATTATTTTGAAGCAAATCCCAGACATCATACTACTTTATACGTTTTTCAGTATATAGCTCTAAAAGATGTTTTTAAAAAGTAACCACAGTGCCCTATCACACCTAACAACGAATAACTCCTTAATAGCAGAAAAAAATCAGTGTTCAAATTTCCTTATCTCACATATGTGTGTTTTACGCTGTTCAAATCAAGATGTAGATGCAGTCTATGCATTGTTGGGTCATATGTCTGTTAAGTTTCTGATGATCTTTAGAAACTTAATCCCATGCACTTTGTACTCTTTCTCTCCCTTGTAATGTTTTACTTGAAAAAATCAGGTCCTTTTTTCCTTGAAGTTCCCAGTCTGGATTTTGCTAATCGCATTCTTGGGGTAGCATGTTCCTCTGTTCTGTATTTCTTATAATTTAGTGGTTAGAGCTGTACTGTCTGATATGGTAGCCGTGTATGGCTATTGGGCACTAGATATTGAGAGTTTGAATTGAAATTGGGTTTGAATTGAGATGTACAATTACATATTTGGCTCACATTTCTATTGGACAGTGCTGATCTAGAGACTTGATCACACTTAGATTGGAATATTTTGGTAGGACTATTTCATAGACCTGGTGTGTAATTTAGGAGGACTAATGTCTGGTGGTCTCTTTTTGGAGCCTTAACAGTCATTGATAATCAAGTTGCATTTGGGGTTGCCAAATAGTTTAATTCTGCCATTCTTTCTTTATTAGCTGGAATACTTCTAAAAGGAGAAATATCCCCTCACCAACTATTTTGTTATCCTCAGGTACAATTTGCATAGGAAAGACAAGAGATAAATATGTAATTTCCTTGATTTACTAGTTTTCAAAATAGTGGTTTCCTAGCCTTGTCCAAGCATGACTAGTGAATTTTGTGGTCAAGTTTTGTTATGAATTCCGATCTAAACATATTTATCTTTCAACTCATTTTATTGTTTTCTTTATTGTTTATGTCACCTTGAGCCAATGGGAGTCTCTTTAACTCAGCTCCTTAGTTCCCATTCGATCCCAGTATTCTCCAAATTTACTTTTCACATTTCCTACCCCAGTGGAAGAAATGACTGCAATCTTCAGTGGAAAAGGCATTTACAGGCCACAACCTGCATGATAGGGGGCTCATTGTTATTGCTGATCATTGCTAGTCAGTTCTTATTTTTTTTCTGTTAGAACTAAGAACTACAGTTCTGTTGAGTCTCCAGCTCTCTTCTAAATCATGCATTTTTAACACCTATACATAAATGCTCTATGTATTGAACAAAAATGAATGAAAATAGAGAAACTCACTCAAAAACTAACCATAAATGTATTGATTCATCATGTCTTATATGCAAGAATATTGTTTATCTTTCCAGTAGAGACGACCCTGGACTTGTGAGAAGCTTTAACAAAATAATTTATTTTTAAGAAATTAAGTAAATACAGGGAAGAAGAGGAAATTAAATAAAGAGGTTAGTTATACATTAATACTAAGAGTATTCATCCCAGTGGCTGAGTTTATGACGTCAAAGACTTTGGCATAAGCCAACCAACTTAATCACTCTAAAACCATTCATGTTTCTTGTCCACGTGACTTTTGTGCAAGGATATATCAAGCAGTTTAGCTGGGATTATACCATCTGTTGTAGCAATTCACTCACTTCTATGAGTTTTGCCACAGGGAAGCTATCCTGGGAATTAACAAGGTAAGTACAAAGTATGTCTTGTTCCATTCAAACAAGTATAATATATAGCAGGAATGTGATGCTGTAAAGTATTAGCACTGGTATATAGTAAGGGCTAGAGATTATATGAGGCATTTCCAACTTAATCTTTTTTTCTTTTTAATGCTTGTAACCAGTAAGCTATTTCTGAATAATTAACTGTTTACTTTTGGAATAAGCTGCATTTCTTACAGTCTCTGAAGCAAAGATTGAAGTTTTTGAGGTGATTGGTGTTGAAGTGCATAACTATACAGAACAGGAGACACTTCTCAACTTTATTAACTCGTGCTTGACAGAATCTAGATACCTGGATTTGAACCATATACTTGGGAAATTATTTTGATTTACCATTTTCCAGGTATGATGTTAAGTGCTACAGACATAAAAAGGAGCAAACAGGATTCCTGCCATCCTGGAGTTAGAGTAGAGAAGCCTAATGACTGTTCAGATAATTAGAGTCAGTTACAATGTAATAAGTGCTAAAAGTGCTTACTCACCAATTTATATTTTTCATTATTCAAATATTTACTAAGTGACTGTTGAGGGTCAGATAATTTGTCAAATACAAGGGCTATCGCAATGAGCAAAATACCAAATACACCCTAACACACGTTTTGAGGGAGATAGACATAATCCAATAATCATAAAAATGTGCTGAGTGCTTTGAAGGACAGATGGTTCTATAAGATTAGGCCTTTTTTTTTTTCCCCCTCAAACTGAGTGTTCTGTAATGCATTTATTTTTTTTTAAATATATTTTATTGATTCTCCACAGAGAGGAAGGGAGAGGGATAGAGAGCTAGAAACATCGATGAGAGAAATACATCGATCTGCCTCCTGCACACTCCCCACCGGGGTTGTGCCAGCAACCAAGGTACATGCCCTTGACTGGAATTGAACCTGGAACCTTTTCAGTCTGCAGTCCGGCGCTCTATCCACTGAGCCAAACCGGTCAGGGCTGTAATGCATTTAGATGAAATAAAGAAAATATCTATATCATATAATAAGGGTAAGAAATTTCATTATTCAGTTTACATATGTATATGCTATGTCACAAAGTCAAATATATTTTATCCTGTGGGTCACAGTTAAAAAAAAAAAAGTTGAAAGCCACCATACTAAGTGAACCTATCCAAGTTTGGGGGTCAGGGAAAGCTTTTTTGAAGAAATGATGTTTCAACTGAGCTCTGAAAAATGAACAGCTATTAACTAGTTGGGAAGAGACAAGGAAGAACATAGCAAGTATCTGGAATAGCCTATGCAAGAGCCCTGTGCTAGACCAAGAGACTAAAGAGACTGAAGGTCAACATAGCTAGAGGTGAGAGGTGAGAGGGGAGGGGCCAGGCTCTGCATGGCTTTGGAAGCCCTTGTTGGGGGTTTGAGTTTGATTCTGAGAGCAGTGGAAATTGTTGGAAACTTTTAGGAATGGCTTAGTTTGCTGCTTTGAAGTGATCACTTTTGTTCAGTGTGTGGAACACAATTACAATAATAGGGCATAAGAGGATACATGGACACTAATGGTCCAAGTGAGAGAGAACTGGGGGATGAGGAGCAGTTTTGGGGGAGGGAAAATCAGGAGTTCACTTTGGATATGTTGGGTTTGAGGCACCCTGGAGACATCTTGGAGGAGATGCCTTATAGGCAGTTGTGCTTTTGAGTTTCATCTCAGAAGAGAACTGGAGAATTTCATGTGTGAGTCATTGGCACATAGATTATTGACGTTATGGGCAAGGATGAAGTCATTTAGAGAGTATAATGGAGACCTTTAAACATAATACTAATGTCATTGCCTGGGCTCCCTGTAGACTGATTACTATAACCCCCACCCACCCTGCCCCTTGCCCTCAAGCTCAGCCACAGCCAAATGGACACAGACCATTTGGAGATGAGGGGATTAAGGGATTTGCCCATCTAGTCTCATTTGACCTCTCTATACTCAGATTACCTACTCTACATCTTTACATGATGGTCTCATGTGGGCATGGGGATGACCCCAGTGACCTTACATTACATCATACACAAAAATCAATTCTACGGGCTTTGCACCATGCTGGTAGGGATGACAGATTGTATTAAACCAAACGTACTCCTAGGTAAACCCTGATTGTTTGCAAAATGCCAGACTGTAGTAAGGAGTCTGGATTACGTATTATAGGCAGTCATGAGCTTGAATTCCTGTGAATGAGTGCTGATTTGTGTTTTAAGGTGACAGAATCTTTATTTAATGTTTAAAATACAAAAATTAAATCCATGGCTATTATGATTATTAAACTAACAGATCCTTCACTTGTTCTTAGACAAAAGGCCCAGATGCTATGTCGATGCGTTTTTAATTCTTAGATTTCAGCATTAGTAGATACTGTTGACAAACACTAATTGACTTTCTCACCAACAGTGCACAAGAGTTCCAGATATTTCCACGTCCTCATCAGTTGATATTATCAGGCTTTTAAAATGTTAACTGTATGGTGATACCTCATTGCTTTATTTTTCATTTCCCTGATGGCTAATGAAATTAACTTATATGTTTATTGGCTATTGGCTAGTCTCTTTTGTGAAGTGCCTATTAAACTTCCTTTCCTATTTTTTGTATTGGCTCTTTTTCTTATTGATTTATAGAAATTGTTGGTATATACTGAATATGAATCCTTTGTCAGATACATGCACTGCAAATATCTTCTCCCATTCTGATTTTTAAAAATTCTCTTAATGGTATATTCTGATGAATAGAAGTTCTTAACTTTATTTTTTAAAATCTTTTTTAAAAATATATTTTTATTGATTTCAGAGAGGAAGGGAGAGGGATAGAGAGATAGAAACATCAGTGATGAGAGAATCATTGATTGGCTGCCTCCTGCATGCCCCCCGCCTGGGGATTGAGCCCACAACCCAGGCATATGCCCTTGACCAGAATTGAACCCGGACCCTTCAGTCCACAGGTCAAAGATCTATCCACTGAGCCAAACTGGCTAGGGCAGAAGTTCTTAACTTTAATATAACCCAATTTATCAATATTTTCCTTTACGGCTAGTCCTTTTTGTAATCTGTTTAAAAAACTTTTGCCTATTCTAAGGCCATGAGTATATTCTCCAATTTATCTTCAAGCTTTACCTTTTTACCTTTTACATTTAGATCTATAGTCTACGTAGAATTGATTTTTGTGTATGATATAAGGTCAAGATTTTTTTTTTCTAGGTGGCCATCCAATTGACCCAGAACCATTTATTAAAAATACTTTTAGCCCTAGCTGGTTTGACGTAGTGCATAGAGTGTCAGCCTGCAAACTGAAGGGTCCTGGGTTCAATTCTGGTCAAGAGCACGTACCTCGGGAGCCACCTGGCCTTGGTCAGGGGCATGCCAGAGGCAACCAATTGATGTGTCTCTCTCACATCGGTGTTTCTGTCTCTCCCTCTCCTTTCCACTCTCTCTAAAAAAATCAATGGAAAAAAATATCCTTCGGTGATGATTAAATAAATAAAAAAAAATACCTTCATTTTCCTACTGCTCTGCAGGGTCATATATCAAAGATCTATCTATATATGTGTGGACATGTCTCTGGATTTTCTTTTATGTTCTATTGGTCCCTTCATACGCCCTCATGTTAGTACAACACTCTCTTAATTCCTGTAACTTTAAAGTCTTGATTGATATCAAAAAGTATATCTTCCAACTGTGTTGCTTCTTCTTCAAGTTTGTCTTGACTTTTCTTGGCCCTCTACATTTCATTTAAATTTTAGAATTAGTTTGCCAATTTACACCAAAAAGTGTGATGGAATTTTGATCTGTGGGATCTGTAAATCAATTCAGGGAGAACTGATATCTTTACAATATTGAGTCTTACAATCATGGTCGTGGTATGTTCCTCCATTTATTCTAATATTTTACAGTTTTCTGTGTAGAGGCCTTATACATCTTGTGTTATACTGAGTCCTAGGTAGTTGATGCTAATACCAATGGTATCTTTTAATTTCATTAGAGATTGAAATTTTTAAAATATAGCATATGGTTTGTTGTTTGTATATAGAGATATAATTGATTCTTATATATTGACCATATATCCAATAACCCTCATAAATTCTTTTGGATTTTCTATATATAATTATGTCATCTATAAATAATGGTGGTTTTCTTTCTTTCCAATCCTCATACTTTTATTTGTTTCCCTTCTCTTTTTAACAGGCTAGTACTTCAGTGTAATGTTGAACAGAAGAGATGATGGGGACATTCTTGTCTCATCATTTCCAATCTTGACGATATCTTTCAGTATTTACCATTAAGTGGGTTGTTTGCGTTAGATATTTTGGAGCTATTTTTATTAGGTTAAGGAAATTTTTTTCTATTCCTAAGTTGCTAAAAGGGTTTGTTGTTCTTAAAATAATGAAAATATATTAATTTTATCAAGTAATTTTTCTGTATCTATGGAGAGAAATAATTATATAATTTTTAATTTTTATTCTATTGGTGTTTATCTTTACTCCCATTGATTGATTTTGGAATGTTAAGCCAACCTCTCATTCCTGAAATAAACTCAACTTGGCAGTATTTTTTTATCCATAATTATTTTTGTTAAGATTTTTTTCATTTATGTTCATGAGAGATCAGCGTCTAATTTTCTTGTCAAGTTTGGTATCAAGGTGATGCCAAACGAGTTAGGAAGTATTCCTTCTTCTTTTTTAGAAGAGTTTTTGTAATTTGATATTTTTTCCTTAAACGTTTGAGTGAAAACTCTTTCTTGTTAATTTTAACCCACTGATTTTGATATTTATTAGGTTTACAAGAAATATACACTTTTGGGGGGGTGAAAACTCTTTTGATGCAAGACTTTAGAACTAGAGTTCTAGACCTTGTTTTGGTAAACAATGCCCTAGTGTAAGACTTAAACATGAAATAGTCAATCCCTGTCAGTTTGAATGGTCTTGTTTTTATCCATTTCCTCCCTTATGCAGCACTGGCCACATTACCTTTCCTTCTTGGCTGTGTGGGACTCAGCTAAGTCACCACACAGGAGAGCACTGAGGCCATCTGAGGCCTGAGCCTGGTCCTCAGGACTACCCTCTCCCGCTGCCATCAGGCAGCCTGCCTCAGCCATCCCCACACTCCTCTGACAGAATGAGTGCCCTTGACGGTGTCCCTTTCAAGGTACCCAACGGCTTTCTGACCAGCACAGAGCTTCTTCCTGGGCCAGAACTCAGTGTCCCAGCCTGCAGGGAGCTTCTGCTGGGTTCTATGGTAAGTGTATTTCTCTGTCTGTCTGTCTATGTATCTCCTAGTCCCTGGGTCTGTGGGCCTGATGCTGAGCCTCATGGGACCTTGCTCCTTGATTTTAAAAGGCAGCTAGGCCTGCTCTGCTATATTCAGGGAGCTTGGAAAGAACCTAAGAGGGAAAGGTGTCTCATGAGGAAGGCTGGTTGCCTGGTGATGAGGATTATTTACTGGTCTTATTTTAGCCTTAGGATAACTGGAAGGTCACCTACATAAAGTGACTGAGGATCATGGCACCGATGTTCCAGTTCCTCTCTGCTGCCGTATCTAAAATTCCATTAGAATCACTCCTTAGGGTGAAGACACTAGATCCAGGATCCTCTGTTAAAATGCCACCTGGGGCACATTAGAAAGGAATACCATTCCCCATGTCTGCCCAGAGGCACTCAAAGCACCCCTCGCCCCATGGCTCACACACTGGGATAGGCACCCAGTGTGTGTGGTCATATCACATGTGGCCTCAGGATAAACATGATTATTTAACTTCTAGGAAAATCAAGTTTACTTAAAGAATTAGGGGGAACCTATTGCATTCACATTAGAACACAGACGTATCATGGGGTAGCATGCAAAATTCGCATGAATTCTTTAAAAATGGAAGAATAAGCCCTAACCAGTTTTGCTCAGTGGCTAGAGCATCGGCCTGTGGACTTGAAGGGTCTAGGTTCAATTCTGGCCAAGGACACGTATCTTGTTTGTGGGCTTGATCCCCAATAGGGGTCACGCAGGAGGCAGCTGTTCGATGTTTCTCTCTCATCGATGTTTCCAACTCTCTATCCCTCACCCTTCCTCTCTGTAAAATCAATAAAAATATATTTTAAAAAATAATAATGATAAATAAAAATGAAAGAATAAGATTGCAAAGAACTGTGGAGCTGGCATTGGGCCTCTTAGAACCGAGTGTTCAGACTCCTGCGTGCTCATTCTCCACTGCCTGCAGGGTGCTTCGTGGAAAAGTTTGAGGATCTAGATCAGCTCTCACTCATTTAGAGGAACCTGAAACCCAGAAAAAGGAAATGATTTGTGCAAAGTTAGTGGCAAGATTAAAACCCAGGTCCTGACTCCAGATCATTTTTTATTCGCTAAGAGCAGGACTGGAACATGAGAGACACTGGACAGGGGTTGTTTGAAGGCAAAGGGTTGCGGGAAGTCAGCAGAGAGCACAGTCCAGAAAGGAGAGGCCTGGGGAGAGTCGGGGAGAGGGGCTCGAGTGGCCTGGGGCACAGGAGCAGGAGGTGTGGTGCAGTTTTGCTCCATCTGCAGACCCCGGAGTTGCACTGAGGCTCCTCAGGACAGATGTTTCCAGAGTTGAAATAAGCTCTGTGAAGCCCAGAGCACTCGCTGTGGGGCAGGAGCTCTTGCTCTCTCTCCCCCACAGCCCGTGTTGTGGGCGCTCACTCTGGCAGGAGAGCTTGTGTTGTTGGGAAGAGGAATTCACTGTACTGAGCCCCAGTGGCGGTGGATTATCACAGCTTTTCCTTTCCTGCTGAGCTCAAGTCTAGCTGGGAAGAGGCTATTTTTTCCTGGTAGCAGAAATAGGCACCCTTCTGCCAAGCCCATGTCCAGTGTCTTAGCCAAACGCTGGCTTGGCTTTGCCTCCTGCTTTCAGGGTGGGCGCCTGCAATCCCTTAGCCTACTTCCCTTCCTGAACTCCCATTTCATTAACTGTTGGGCCAAACTAACAAATAGAGAAGCCTGAGACTCCGAGTATGATTTACAGCCTCTCCCTGATCAGTCCTTCCAGTTCACTGGGCTGTATTCCCAGTGTTAAGAGCTTAAAATGCATTTTCCCATAAGGATGATGTTATACATGGTGGTTAGATTACCCGACGGACCTGTCTTGCCCTAAAGGGAAAAGTAATAACAGCTTCCATTTATTGAGCCAGTCAATGTTTACCTGCTGTGCACCAGGCCCACGCGAGGTGCTCTTTACATGTTCACTCTTCTCTCTCATTTTTATGACTCTTTCAGCTGGGTGTTCCTACCCCACGGCACAGGAAATCAAAGCTCCCACCGGGTGATCCGCAGGGTCTCAGGGCCTGTGAGTGACACAGCCAGGATTCCAACCGGGGTCTGTCACACCCCAGAGCCCACGCCACCCCTTCACCCTGCTCCTTCCCAAGGAGCCCTTCCTTACGTGCTTAACGCCTCTCCAAGTCTGTTTTGTTGTTTCATAGTATAATTGCCAGAGTTTTAGGGGAAGGAGAGGTTGGACATGGCTCTGTTTCAGTAACACTTTTAGTTACAAAATCAAGAGTGATGGGGGTCAGTTTGGCCCTCAAGAGGTGTGACTTTCCCATCTGCCATGATCCTTCACCTCGACCGCATTCATTGATGACATCTGTTACGCAATGTAGAGTAGTGCTTCTAGAGACCCTATATGTGTGTAGATACGAGAGGATACGGAGAAGTTGCCCCCATTTAA